ATAAAGTTTGTGATTGGTTAATAGGGTAAGAAGAATTCTCCTGTAATATAATTCATATAGTATATTTTTCATTAGATTTGTAGTAGAACTAAAAGATTTATTTGCTATTAGTAGTTTATTGTTTTTTATAGTATTTAAATTTTTATAATTTTGGTTAACTGTAGTTATAGTATTTTGTTAATGTTTTATTTTATATTTTTTATTTGTGATGTGGTAAGATAATATAGTTTTTTGATTCATTGTGTCTGTTTTTTATGTTTTTAATTATCGATTTTTTAATTTGGTTTTAATGTCTATATTATTGATCCATAATTAATTGTTATTGATTTTTTGATTAATTCTATTTCACCACCAATTAAATATTGAGTAACTATTATATTATTTGTTGGTCTTTTTCTTTTTCAGATTGTCTTGATCATATTGAGAGCGAAAACATTACATGATGAATTCATGTAGAAACTGCAATATTTGGTTTAATTGAATAATAATATTTAAGTTTTTTTCAATAACCTTAGAAACAATGGCAATGCAAAAATTATCATTATTTCTTGAAAAAGTATAATGGCATTGCAAACAATTTCAAAAAAGAATCTAAATTGTTTATAAATCAAAATATCTTGCAGAAATCTAATATTTAATTATAAAATAAAAATATAATTAAATAAAAATAACATTTGTCAATAAATTATTTCAAAATTCATTTTAAAATAACCAAAATATATTAGAATAGATATATATTTTTAATCATAAAAAGAATAACGGCATTGCAAATAATTTTGAAAAGGAATCTAAATTGTTTATAAATCAAAATAGCTTGTAGAAATCTAATATTTAATTGTAATATAAAAATATAATTAAATAGAAATAACATATGTCATTAATTATTTCAAATTTCATTCTAAAAAATAATAAAAATTTATTAGAATAGATACATATTTTTAATCATAAAGAGAACTATTTTTTACCAGAAAATCTTAAATTGTTTCTCAATGAATATAAAAAAAATTTAGAAAATGACACATGACAACTTCTAGAGTGCCACATGGCAGCATATCAAAGCTCATTCTGAAAAAAACTGGATATTATTCAAAATTATGCATTGTAAATGTAAAGTGACACTCTTTATAAAAAAAAAAAACTTTAGAATAACACTTATTTTAAAGGGGAATTGCTGAATATGACTCAAAACTTGAGTTGAAATGCAAAACTAGACCCCTTATTGCATGTTTGACAAAAATAACTCATAGAAATAGTGAAATTACAATTTTAACCCTGATGACCAAACAAAAAAATACCAGCCTCAATTACTATTTTATCCCAAAGAAGTCTACTCGGGAAGTTAAGTAGACTTCTCGCGTAGACTTTTCCAAGAAGTCTACTCTCTAATAACATGTTTACAATTAATTTTAAAATCATAAAAAAATAATTTGATAAAAAATTAGATACATAACAACAAATGTATACTTTTTTACACCTATTTAAAATAAAATTTGACAGAAAATAATCAATTTTAACCATCATAGATAAATTAGGATAAAAGTTAATACTAAGAGACTTCTCGAGTATACTTCTCGGTTTTTCGAGTAGACTTCTTAGAGAAGTCTACTTAAACGGATTTTTTTCTACATATATAAGGAGAGTTTAACCTAATTTTATTAACAATAAAGTCTCTCTCTTCTCCCTTCCCTCTAGCCATGAATTTATTCTCCTTCCTCTCTTGCTATCAATATCCTCTCCATCCTCTCTATCTTGCATTCAACCTCCTCTCACTTGCAGGTTATGGTAGTGGTAAGCAAATCTGAGCTTTTGTGTTCCTCTTTTTGTTTGCTTTGTGTTCATATTGCAAATCTGAGCTTATTATTATAGATTTGAGCTTATTGTTGTAGATCTAAGTTTATTTTTGTAGATCTGAGTTTATTGTTGTATAAATTTTGTAGATTTTGTTAATTTTTTTTGTTATTGTTGCAGAGCTGAATTTTGTTGATTTTTGCACAGATCTGAAAGTTATAAATATAGTAGATTATTATTATATATCCGAGCTTATTATTATAGATTTGAGCTTATTGTTGTAGATCTAAGTTTATATATGTAGATCTGAGTTTATTGTTGTATAAATTTTGTAGATTTTGTTGTAGATCTGAATTTTGTTGCAGATCAAAAAAAATTGTTATTGTTGCAGAGCTGAATTTTGTTAAATTTTTTTACAGATCTGAATGTAGACTTCTCGAGTAGACTTCTCGATCTCGAGCAAACTTCTCGATCTCGAGCAGACTTCTCAAGCAGACTTCAGTTGCATAGATAGTTTTCAGAGATTTTAGTTTAGTAGTAATTTCTTATGCCAATTTTAAGATTTATAATCAGTGATCCTTAAATATTTGTTTGTTTAGAGGGTTATTTTCTATGTAATGTTGAATTGCATTGAATGTTTTGTATCAAATTCTTAAATTATATATGTTTATCTATTCTACTAAATAGACTTCTCCTGTCTCGAGTAGACTTCTTAAAGACATTAATTTTACATAACTTCTAAGTGATTCAGAGGGACATTTCTCCCATTTATATCATATAACTTGTCAACCGAGTAGACTTCTCTTGTCTCGAGTAGACTTCTCCTGTCTCGAGTAGACTTCTAAAAGACATTAATTTTATGACTTAAAAGTGATTCAGAGGGACATTTCTCCCATTTATATCACATAACTTGTCAACCGAGTAGACTTCTCTTGTCTCGAGTAGACTTCTGAAATAGACTTCTCCTGTCTCGAGTAGACTTCTTAAAGACATTAATTTTACATAACTTAAAGGTGACAACATTCGCCCTCCTTTGCTATTCGCCCTCCTTTGCCAACATTCACCAAGAAGCTCACCATGTGTGTAACCATCTCTTAAGAACAACATTCATCTTCCTTTGCTATTATCCACCTCGAACTGCCACACTGATTCACTCTTAACCCATTCTCCATAAACAGCGGGTATGTGAATCATTCTCTTTGAAAAATGAACAAAATACAAACCACATAAGACATCAAAATTGAATAAGTAGACTTCTCTGAAAGTCGGATGAAGTCTACTAAGTCTGCTTAGTAGACTTCTAGAGTAGACATCTACTCTTAATAAGCTAAGTATCATATAAAACATGAAAACTGATTCGACTATACCTATAAAACATAAACATATAAAACTTATACATAAGCAAGAAAACTTAATAACAGAAGCTTAGGATCACGAAAATCTTAAAAATCGTTATATATTGTATAAAAATGAATTTTTTAAAAAAACAAGAAAAGTAGACTTCTCGGATAAAAGTAGACTTCTCGCAGGTTAGTTTTGCAATTGCCAAAAGATTAGTAGACTTCTCTATGAAAAATAGACTTCTCGGAAAAGTCTACTTTCGTAAGTAGACTTCTCGCAGGTCATTTTTGCAATTGACCAAAAAGTCAAATATTTTGCAATTGCAAAAATGACCTGCCAGAAGTCTACTTACGAAAGTAGACTTCTCGGAAAACTCTACTTTGCATAGAGAAGTCTACTCTACAAAGTCAAAGGTTGGTCAATTGCAAAAATGACCTGATCTAAAGAAGTCTACTCGAGAAGTCTCTTCTATTTTTCTGTTATCAAAGGAAATGGAGTAGAATTCATTCAGACCAAAAGAAGTCTACTTTTTCATGCGGTCAATTGCAAAACTAACATGGGCGTTGACTAGTAGACTTCATTCAGATCGAGATAAGTCTACTTTCAAAGCATTTTTGTAAATAAGTGAGGAAGATGAGGATTAGTTGGTCATTTGGATTTCCAAAAAAAAAACTAATTAAAAACAATGGCAATTTCATGAATAACTGAAACTATGAAGGATTGTTTAGACACAAAATGACAAATGTTGGGAAGGTGATTTCTGTGGGTTAGATTTGCATTTCAAATCAAATTTTAGATCATTTTTGCAAGAATCCCTTATTTTAAATGGAGGGAATATAATATAAAAAAAATGGTAATAGATTTACAAATATAAAACAGAGATTATATGATCAATTTAATTATTTATAGTAAGTTATTAATTTATTTGATTCATGAGGTTAAATTAACAATTAATTTAATTTACTAATGAAACTAATCTTGGTATTATTGAATATCAAAATCTATTTCTAGCTTGATAAATTAGAATTAAAGATAAATTTGGTTTATGCAGTTAATAGAAAAGAGAAATTATATAAATTTTTGATTTTAAACATTAATATTTAATAATTATCTACCAGATTTTTTGATTCAAATATTTTAGCTTCGATATAATTTAGATATACTAAATATTTTAATATATATAATAATATATGTATATATATTTCTAAAATATGTCCATTCCAATACTTTTTAAAATAATATTTTTATATTTCAAAATAATTTATTTCTGCGACTCTGTTTCCATTTACATATAATTCAAATCAAAATATATATTACATTTTTATTGATTAACTTGACATGTAGTGTAATTATAATAATAATTTTTAAACGAAAAATTATTTAGAAATCTGGTTCCTTATCGAATTAACTTATGATATATTAATACTTATCGATTAACTTTGACATGTGATAACATATAAAACTTGAGATGATAATATTCAGGAATCTAAAAACTAATCTATATTATCTTCTAGATTTTTCTCCTTTGTATTTTTGACTATACATTCATTTTTTTCCTTTCAACACATTGATTCTTTCCTTTTTTTTTTAACATACAATTTTGGAATCACATTAACCAAAAAAAATAAGAGACTAAAAGCTGTACCTTAACCAAAAAAATAATTGATAACCTTTTGTTGTATTTTATTTTGTATATAATTTATTTCCTATGACTTTCAAATTCTAAGCACGACTCTCCATATAAGATCGAGATCTCTATACTGATTTCTTAACAGTTATCACATATTAATCACAAAATCTTAAGTGCTTATCTGGCAGATAATCCCTTGGTTACAAAGTAACTGTTGCTAAAGGATAACAATAAAGTCTATACAAATCTGAAATCTCTGTAATTAAGGCGGAGAATTTTCTATATTGGTAATCATAGATAATTCTTTGGTTGTAAAAGATAACAAAAAAGTCTATATAAGTCTCGACTCTCTCTATCTCTTTTTATGTCATAAACGTAAACAAATAAGTAAACATGTCAACACTCAATAACACTACTCCGGTTAACAGTGTTTCCCCATCCTCCATCATTCGAGCTTCCATCATCCAAGCCTCCACCGTCTATAACGATACTCCAAAAACTATTGGTATTTCATTTTTTCTCAATAACATTTTTTGAACCGATCAAAATCTTTGGTAAAGATGTCAAAATTTAATCAAATGGTGTACTTCAATTTGCAGAAAAGGCAGAGAAGCTGATTGCCGAGGCGGCCAGCGGGGGCTCGGAGCTAGTGGTGTTCCCAGAGGCATTTATCGGTGGCTATCCTCGTGGCTTTAGGTTCGGTATGGGGGTTGGTGTTTTTAACGAAGATGGTCGTGATGAGTTCAGAAAGTATCATGCTTCTGCCATTCATGTTCCTGGTAAAGAAACTTCAATCTATGCATGCTCTTTCTTTCCTCCTTCGACTCTATTTTCTTATCAACATATCATGCATGTGTAATAATTATCGATAAAATGATTTTTTGTACATTTAAATTCAAATTTAATTAAGTTTAAATCCAACCTCCCATGTTATATTGATTAATAATGAGAAATTGTGATCTTATATATTTTGTACGAAAAATAGTTCCATCTTTTTCCTAGTGCGTATTTTGTTTTCTAGTGAGCATCTCTAGCTTATGTTTTTATTTATTGATCAATTAGTATTGCTTATATATATCAGCTTCTGTTATATATATTATCACTAACAATTGAGTTTTATCTATTTAACTTTAAGGAAAAACTGGTTTGTTTTATGGGTTATCTGTTTACGAAAGTTTTAGACTGAAACGGAACAAAGTCTCTGTGATTTTGAATCCAAATATTAACTTTCACTTGCAAAAGAAGCAAAGTGACTCTTTCTTGCACATTTATACAGGCCCTGAAGTTGAAAAACTGGCGGAAATTGCTAGAAAATACAATGTGTACTTGGTGATGGGGGCTATAGAGAAAGATGGATATACACTCTACTGCACAGCCCTTTTCTTCAGTTCGGAAGGTCGGTTCTTGGGGAAGCACCGTAAACTCATGCCAACAACTACTGAACGTTGCATTTGGGGTTACGGGGATGGATCAACCATCCCTGTTTATGACACTCCATTAGGCAAACTCGGTGCTGCTATTTGCTGGGAAAATAGAATGCCTCTCTACAGAACTACATTGTATGCAAAAGGTTAGTCATGAGTTCAAGAATATTTAAAATATTCTAGCTCAAAACTAGTTTGATTTTAACTAATTTCTTTTTAGATGATATATGATTTTTCTTATCCATCTAAACTTTGAATCCTTTTTAGAGTCGTGAAAATATCTTATTCGGAAAAATATAGGCTTTGATACCATATTAATATATTCATAAACTTCCATTTTCTAAATTAATTTTTTATGAGTGGAACTGGCTCGATTGTCCCATATATATTGTAACGCTCCTACTAATTTCGATTTTGGGATGTACTAGGAGTTGAGATTTATTGTGCACCTACTGCTGATGGTTCGAAAGAATGGCAATCTTCTATGCTTCACATTGCGCTCGAGGGTGGTTGCTTCGTGTTGTCAGCCTGCCAGTTCTGTCGGCGTAAAGATTTTCCTGAACATCCTGATTACTTGTTTTCCGACTGGTACGATGAGCAAGAACCTGATTCTATTGTCTCTCAAGGCGGTAGTGTCATCATTTCACCATTGGGAAAGGTTCTTGCTGGACCAAACTTTGAATCAGAGGGTCTCATCACAGCTGATCTTGGTATGTATACTTTTCTTTGATATTCATCTTGTGTTTTAGTCAAGAAAATGATAATATGTTTACCTAATCAAGTTGAGAAAACAAAATTATCATCTAGATCTTGGTGATGTCGCAAGAGCGAAGTTATACTTTGATGTGGTGGGACATTACTCGAAGCCTGAGGTTTTTAACTTGACAGTAAATGAGCACCCAATGAAACCAGTTACATTCGTGTCAAGATCAGTGAGAGTGGAGGATGACTCAGAACCTCAAGACAATTAATCAAGATCTAAAGCTCATCAATTTATCCTCTCCATAACTGCTGGAGTTAATGTCAATCATATATTTATGTCATGTTCAACATTATTCTGTTAAGCTTATTTATGTTTATGTTCTATAATATAAGAACCAGTCCGGTAAAACCAATTAGTTTTTCTCTTTTCTTTAAGTATCATGAAATTTATTTTATAGTTTTATACATCCCTAATATAAGTTTTCTTTTGCTGATAAAATGTTATTATGAAGTTTAATCAATTGTGATTCTCCAGAAAAAAAAATATATATATATTGTTTGTAGCATCAAATATGTTTTGAATTTTTAAAAATTGATACAAATTTTTAAATATTTGATAAATAATTCTAAACAATGATGTATCGTTTATTATAGAATATATAAACTACAATATTAGATTTTTAATTTGACAGTAAATGAGCATCCAAAGAATTCAGTTATATTTGTTTTGAAGTCGGTGAAACTAAAAGATAACTTAGAGTTAGAAGACAAATAATCAAGATTTGAAGGTTGTCAATTTGTCCTCTCTATAAATGTGGGAGTTAATGTCAATCTATTATATTGTGGGGTCTGTTTTTACCATGGTCAAGCTACAGTCAACACGTCATCAGCTAACTTCATCCAAATGATAATCTTTTTTTGTAGGCTTGCCAAGTGTCCCTCTAGCGAATTGTTCCTGGGCGTTAGCACACTTCCCAAATCAAAGGCATGTCAAACCAACCAACATGCCCCGCTGCGTCCCCATGGATTAAACAGTTCATGGATAAAAGAGCATAAATAAGGAGCGAAGGCCAAAGAAGAAGGAGGTCGGATCACCCAGATGGGAGATGATATCTAGAGAGAACACTAAAATATGGAGAGGAGGAGGAGAGTAGGCCGATCTCAGGCGTGTCAAAGCTCGTCCTGTCCCTGGCCATACAGCGAGACCGAGATGAGCACGCCCTTCACCCCTAAACGAAGGATAAGTCTTCTACTCCTCTATATTTCCCTACTTTAACACCCATGCCTAGAGAGTTCCTACCTCATTCTCCACATGGTTCACACCCAATCCCTTCCATCCTCACTACCCGACGGGTACTATGATCCTCGGACGTGGTATCTAGAAACCGCTGGCGCGACCCAAAATCCATGAACATCAAAACAGACAAGGTCGACTGAAAGGCGGCATAAGACATAAGACAAAGCAAAGCAGGGAGGAGACCCCGCTCTTGGTGCAAAGTTGGACCATTTGCTCGAGCCGTAACTCTCGAAGTCAGCCAGCCCCAAAGGTACGCACCCCAAAAATGTCAGGCAGGGCGAGGCTAGCTTTGGACGAAGAGTTGAGCCCTGACCAGCCCAAAACACTCGCACCAGGGCAAAGCATTGTCTCATCGTGGTTGAGCCTCCCGTCTATACGAAGGATGAACTAGCTAAGAACAAAGAGGTCATATTCTGGAGGGCCCAGTTCACCCCCCCCCCTGGCACCTCGGGAAAGGCACCCCTGCACCTCGCGCAAATCCAAGTGTCGGGGTAAGGAAAACCCCAGGGATCGAGTCGAACGTTGGTCTTCTCTCTTGAACCCTGCAGTTTTAAAAACACATGCAGCCGTTCGATTAAACCTAAACATCAGCCGGGACATTTTTGTTGTTCACCCCCGAACGAAGAATGCGGTTTGTTTGAAGAATAAGCCTATTCCATGGAAAGTTACTAAAAGTACAAGTCAAATATTTCAGGAAAACAACACGGAGAGCAAAATAAAGAATGCATTGAAGAAAATTAAGCTTTATTCATATAGCAAACCTCGAAGGAACAAAAATTACAACAATTCTCCTACAACAAAGACTCAAAAGGCTGCACTCGCCACATGCAGCGAGTGTGAAAAACGAAAAGGAGGCAAGACCCCTGGAGCAGACCCCCACGAAGAGTGGGGTTGGCCGAATGGAGCCTAAAGAAGAGTAAGCAGCAGAGAAAGACCATGGCAGAAGTAGAGCCAGCGCATAGAGAACCGTTCGGATGCTAGAATTCAGGGAAATGAGCCGTCGATGTAACGGAGACGCAAAGAGGAAACCGCCTTGGCCTCCCCCTCTTCCTCTCAGTATCCGAAGGAATGGCAAGAATCAGTCCTGTGATCTCCAGGCGAGACCCTGGTCTTCTGTGCCCCGGGGTTATGCAACTACCATGTGTTATATGACCAGAACCAGAGCATCCCCGATACCCAGGACTAGTCGGCCTCAGGCTTGTGGACCTAATTGCACTTGCCAGACCATTAATGGTCAGTACGGCCGTCACTCCGAGATGCCACGACTCCTTCGAATAGAGTCCCGTCCAACAACAAGGGAGCAGAAAAAGCTATGGATCCCTCAGGGAGACGGCCCATAAAATAAAAAGCCAAGAAGAGTGGCTCGCCCTGGAGAGAGGTGTACGACTCGAATGACGGGAACGCTTACAGCTCGAGCTCACTCAAGGGTTGGATGAAGTGCCCCTGATCCCAGGGATACCTTCAAGAAACTGGAGTCGAGCTGAGAGCAACTGACGCCTAGCTAATCGCACTTCAATGTCGGAACAAATAGAATCCTAGTCGAGCATTATGAGGAAAAAGATTACAAGATTGATTAGAGGAAAAAAGAAAGCGAAGGAGCGTGGTTGAAACCAGTTTTGAAAGAAAGATGAATAAAGGAAATCTCAGGCCCTCCCTATTTATAGGGTCACTAGGAGATGAGGAGGAAAACGCAAGTTCCAGATCAACAACGGAAAAATCGAGGGATGAGCTTGTTTAAGAGGGCGATTGATGCGACACTTCTTGACTTAGGAAAGAGAAAAGATGTCAGTTCACGAGAAGTAAGGCAAACAGTGCAGTGTGTCTTCCCACGATGACATACCAAATAAAAAATTACCATGTGGATCGCACTCACCGACTAATGGAACACTTCTCGACCGGAGAAAATGCAGTCCCTGAGAAACTGTTAGATGCCAACCAAGTCCTCCAAAGCACATGAAACAGCAATTCCCTTCCGCTGCAAATTAGGACACGACGGTATAGGTTCTCGAATTTTACAGGAAACAAGAATCACCTTAAGTCAGACTCTAAAATTTGTTATTCAGCTATTTATCTGAGATATCAATCAGATTCTAAAATTTATAGTTTAGTAATGGTTTTTATGTGGATTTGGTAATATTGTAAGAAAATCGGTAAATAGTATTGGTTTATTCATTGTTTTTTCTAATATTACCAGATGATGTCTAGCCAAAATTTTAAACTAATCATATATATGTAGCGAAACTTCTCTTTATCTTTTTTTTTTTTTTGGGCAACTGATATTTTCTCTTTATCTAAACTGTCCAAATTAGTACTTTAAAAAAAAAAATTAATGAGCTTCTACATATTTTCTTCAGATAGGGATTTTTCACCAACTTGTCTCACGGCTCATTTTGAAAGATTAGAAAAGACAATTAAACTTTGATACGCGGCGAAGTTGTTCAAAACAATCCCGCACGTAAAGCTCTAATTCTCAAAATTTTAGAAAGAGTCGGATTTTCTTTCAATTTAAGATAATCATATTCCAAAGCCAATTTTTTTATAAAAATTCATTCATTAATCCGTCTCTATCTCCTATATTGTTCATTTTTTTTTGTAGGTGCTTTGTTATGGAGTTTTGATATATTCACAACAAATTCGGAGTTTTCAAAATTGATGTTCTAATTCGTTGTTAGTTTCCCCCACAAAAAAGAAAAACATTGGAACCAAAGAGTGCAACAGTACTTAGACTTTGCAAGTCTTTGGATTCTGAAACTGTTACAGACAAAGACATGATGATAAACTCTGGAACTTTTTGTCTTACCGTATAACCTTCTGGGGTTTTGTTATTGTACTTTTAGGTGGGCTAGATTACGATGTTCTTGAACTGATTTATCAATAACTAGTTTCTTGAGCTTGAAGAAACCCATGAATCTTGCTAACAATGAGGTAAAACTTTACATACTGAACTTGGAATGTGCAATATCGATACTTGTATCTATATAGAGGCTCAAATCAATCATACAATCAAATTTGTATACTCTAATTAGTGCAATTAAATTATTGTAAATATCTGATGTCGGAGTAATTTTACAAACCTATGATCATTTTTTACAAAAATCCAATCAACACGTGTGATGATTTTGCGGCGGAGATACTCGGAGAAAAAAGATATTCGACAAAAAAACAATTCGAAATGTGAGACTAGAGCTGGTTAACTTGAGGATATTTAGCCAAATACCCAAATGTCCTGCTTTTTGAAACAAATAAACTCTGATTAGTAAAATTAAATTAGTTTTGAAATAAAAAAAAAACACAGATATTTCAACTATATGTTGGAAATAAACTAATACACTCAAGTACAAGTCTGTCGGTCAAAGGCAAGAACCTTTCGATTGAAGGAACGACCGCATGATTAGGTGAGCGTTGAAGAAAATCAAATTCAAAGCATAATACGAATCTGAATAAATGACCAAACAACACATGCTTATGTCCCTCCTATTATTATGATTTCCAAATCCAACATAACATGTAACTCATAAACTAATTCATATAGTATTTTCTTCTTCTTGCATGAACTAAAAAAAATTATGAAACAAACATAAACATTATTACTCAGGTAATGCCTCAATTAAACCCAACCAAAAAAAGCCGTACACAAAAATAGACTAAACAATCTCTGCAAATGAACCATCCTCACTCTTTGCTCCACTATATTGCTCTCTCTCTCTTTCTATATATATATATATATATATAACTCTATCCTTTCTATACTTATTTTAGTGAATCCAAAATCACAAAAAAACCGGAATCAAGAGTTTGGTTCTTGAGTAAAGGATTTGAGAGAGCTATGGAGATCCGAATCTCTCCATCTGAAAGCTCTCAGATTTAGCATCTTCAGCATCTTCCATGCTACTATCTCCACCTGTTGTAGTTGTCGTAGAAGGTAACTGCAAAGGACCTTGGGGAGAATCCGATTGCGAATTGCTTCTCTTTGATGATTCTCCTCCTCCTCCTCCTTCACCGCTTTCTTCTTCCTCTTGTGATGATGAATTCCACAAGTTAAACCCTAAAACAACTACTGATTGTTTCTCCGGATTCGAATTAGGCTTCCTCATGTGTAACCGGTATTTCTACATACAACAGAGTAAATGAAAATGATGGGTTCTTACTTCTTAGTAACAGTTACTAAAACAATCAAAGATCACAACTTTTCTCTTAGTGTAACAATTACCTGTAAATGACTCTTCACTTCATCGTTGGTTAAGCCTTCTTCTTGCATATGCTCTCTGATTTGTTTAGGAGTTGCCACTGTTTGACACAAGCAGGCAAAGATCACTACACATTCTGTATTTAAGTAACCAAACTCAAGAACAAGAAGCTCGTATTTTTCTCTTTTACCTCCAGGTCCACCGAGCTGCTGCAATGCATCAACAAAACGGCGATGTAACTCAGGAGTCCAACACCTTCTTTGCTTCCGCAACGCTTGCTGCTGAAGAAACGGTGGTGGCTGTGGCACAGAGTGTTTAGAGTTAAAGCCACAAGAGGCAATGCCTTTGCTTCTTCCATTAACCATCGAGCTCGAAGTTAACCCAAGGCCTAAGCCAGTTTCTACTTTTGGAGTGATCATACCAGGAATCAACGACATAGTTGAAGATTTCAACTCGTTTCTCTGCAACAAATTAGAACAATCTCAAACTCAATCCTTGTCTCTGATTCTAGGAGTCACCAAAATGTTATCTCAATTTCAGGGTTTTACCTCAATCTCTAGCTTGTTTGAGAATCTTCCGTTTGTTGAGATGTGATCATCTTCTCTCCATAGCTGAAGCTTCTTCTCCTTGACTAGCTCATCTCCTTGTCGCCATTCTTCTTCTTCTTCGTGTTCTTCTCGAATGGGTTTATTAAGAGAGATGAAATCTTTCAACAATGGTTGAGTATCCATCTCTGAGCATCTCTTGTTTTCCTCCTTCAGATACGAAATCGCTGCAAAGCAATCATAATCATCGGAAAAAAGCAAAGTTTCAGCAGACCTAAATCAAAATTCTAATTAAATTGGGAAATATTTTATTCGAGATCAAATCACGAACCATCGTTTAAAATCTCCAAACAGAGAGGAAGCTCGAGTTCACAGCCTTGGATCTTCCTCTTCTCTTCTTCAAGCTTCTGAACACGTTCATCGAGTTTACAACCTTTCTCCACCGCGACACTCATGATCTTCGAAGCTTTTCTCGGAAACCCACAGATCGTTATAGGCATCGTACTGTGTCGCCTTAATCCCAGACTCAGCTCATCTCCTAACGAACCCATTTGTATTCTCTCGATCTCAAAAACTTGGAAATGATAAAAACCTCAAACTTTTTCAGAATTCGTCATGAACAAATTGGTCTATCTCGTGAGTAAAGCAAAATCGAACAGTGTGGAGGAAACAACCTGAGATGAGATCTAAGAGAAGCGATTTTAAAGAAAAACGATGGAATCTATAAAGAGGGAGAGAAGAAGAAGAAGAAGATTGATTGAAGGAAGGGGAAAACTAGAAGATTCTGTAAAAATTGTGTGGGGTATCTTTTTTAGATATCAAAAACTCTTCGCTTCGTCGCGTATCTCTCACATTCCTTATCTGCTCACTCGCTCTCTTTCGAGTTTTACACCTTACTCGCGCGAGTTGACTCATTCCAACTCATCCCAAAACTCGTGATTTTTTTCAATGCTTTATATAATAAGCTCCGTTTATTTACTTTTTAGTTTCTAGTTTTCTACCATTCACATTTCACACGCTGCTTAACAATAAAATTAACAAGTGGGGTTAAACCTAATTATGATGGGTCGTCTCAAATTAAGAAAATTAATCGACAAAAGTATTATTATTACGGTTCAATTAAATTTAGATGTATGTGTAACAACAAAAAAATTATTTTTTGTATGGAAATTTTGTCCATTTTCTAACATCACTTACTATTGCATTAGTGTTGGACCATTTCAACTTTTAATAGCATTTTATATACATTTTTGATGATAAAAAAAATATGCTAGTTGTTAAACTAAATTACGTTCCCTGATATCTTTCAACTAAAAAAATAACATAACTCATAAAAAATATTGGCTATTAGATTTATATGCAATCACGCCATCTATACCTTAAACAATTGTTCTAGGAAAAAAAGTTGACAACATTAATAACAAAAAAAAAAAATCGATTTCATTTATTTTAAGACCAACGAAGATTAGATACATGTACGTATGACTTAAATTTCTTGTTGATTATTGGTAAAATAACTCTTAGCATTAGATATGAATAGCTTACTAATTATTACAAACACCTCTCTTCTGTTTCCAAATATATGGTTGGTCCAACCAAAATTAATAACGACGTTGTTAGGGTTATTAATAAAATTAGTGTTTTGAGAAAGAAAAAAAATTAATTGAATTAAAGGGAAATAAAAAGGGTACTGTCGGTGAAAACGAAAAGCTTAATTTCAAAGAAGTGGTGCGTCAAAGTCAAAGATACTAAACCCATGGGATTAGGGGGCACAAAGAAATGTGGTTGTTCCTCCTTTTTCTCGCCACTTTCTGATTTCGAGCTTTTGTGAAATTGAAGATTTCGTCCAAAGAATAACTTTTGCAAATGTTTATCTGGCTCATTCTCCAATCGATTTCCAGCACGTGTCCACCAGATTACGATTTTGAAGTCATCATTTCCAATATCAACTGTTTCTTGGTAATTAAGAAAATACGAAAAGAAAAAAAAATGGTTTAAGATACCTTTCTCTTCATTTTAATTTGTCTGATTTGATCATTTATAAAGTTAAAACTATTTCTACTAAAGTGATGCTTTTAAAATTTTCTCCTCGATAGAATAATGGATGATATAATTAGGCATATTTTGACTCACCATGTCATGTGCAGAGAATAGTTTCGTCTGACAAAACCAACATGAAAAAAATACATTTTGTTGAAAAAAGCCATATTCTTCGAATTTACGAACGCGGGACAAATATTTTGGAAAGGGCAAACGAATCACATCTACATATTAATTTATTTCATGCTGGTTAGATTCCCATTCTCTCTTTCATAGAAATAAGAATCTTTCCCATGAACCAGTCGTTTAAAATATATAATATATATATCCTATAGTTTTGCTATATCCATTTTCAAATTTTGATGTCATGATATTAAAACACCAGTCCCAAATATAGAAGTTTGGACCTTTGCGTTGGATCCACATCGATTTCTCTTATCTCCACTCGTTTTGTCGGATAGTCATAGTCAAAGAATCTACTTTGTATTTTCTAAGGATTACCTCAAAACCATTTTGTTGTTTCGGCTACGCCACTTAGGTTTGTATAATAATTGTATTTCCTTGTATTATTGTATGCTGGGCTGAGTATGGTCCTATTATATTATTTGTTTAGATGTAAATATTCCGAGATTTTGAACTTATATCTAAATAAATGACAAAACATTATTCATATTTTATATTAGGGTTAAGATTGTTGTTCTGTTTTTTTTTTTTTTTAATATATGCGAGGCTTTAAATCGAAATCCATACATTTATATAGATTTAATGATAACGCCAAAACATGGTACAAGGAATGGACTCTTTGGCAAAGAGCTTCAGTTCTTTTGTCTATGTAACCGCAAGTTAATGAGTAACAGAAGTTTGGTTTGAACAAAAAAAAATGTAATTCATCTCTGATAAACAAATGAACCAACGACAAAACACAGTATATAACCCATTCCTACTATTAAGCCAGCACACCTTTGATAAATAAATAAATAAATAAGTTAGTAGTAGATTTTACACGTTAGAAACAAGTTATAAAACACAATCTCATGTATTAATGTCCAAGATCTAAATTATAGGAGGGGAAGCACTAGTTTTTTTTTCCTAATATTTAGTATAAACAATATTAATAATGATATTTTTCGAATGTTTGTATATGTAATTACTAATCAGAGTAGAATACATCCACTTAAAAAAACAAAAACTACCAAGTGCACATTTGATTTTTTTTGTCGGGAAAGATGTGCGAAAAAAATGAAATAATTCCAAAAACTAACAGTCACTATTCCGATTCTCTATAAGAATCTTTCACGTGACAACAATGCCTAATATTTGTATCGGCTCGACTTTTGTATGATTACAGTTCACATCATTATGTTTTCTGTCACTATTCTTTTCGTTTCTTCTCTACATGCAAAATGAAACCATTAAAAAAAAGAATCTTTACTGATTAATTAAGGCAAACATGATTCGATCAACTATTACTTTTTCATCGTTATGTATTAATATAGGCAGTCAGTGCCGTCCCATACAATTATGTGGTTTAAAACATATAATAATAAAATTATCATAAAAAACTGTAAATATTTAAATAACAATATAATGAAAGTATCAAAAAAGTAGAAAATATTTAAAATAATAGCAAAAAATCATAATATAGAACAAACTTCTAATTATAAAAAATTAGATCTCAAACTTTTTTTCTTAACAAATTCATTAATAATCAATTTTTTTAATCATATCTTTTTTAATAGATATCATTGATAATTTATTAAATTTCTCTTATGTTTGAGAAATATTCGGATTGTCAAAATCAAAACTTAAACTTTCTGAATCAGATACAAGTTAATGACAAAATTTTGAAAGATTTAGTGATACAGTTTGATGATAAGAAGAATTCAAAGATATGATTTTAGTCAGCAAGGTTTTTTTTTTTACATAAAAGAAAAAGTCAAAAGACTTTCTTCTAATTTTATCGCTAAACAGAAAATAAATTTAAAATTTTAATAAAAAAAAGAAAAAAATGAAAATTAAACATTCAGAACACTCAAACTAGAGATATAAGAGAAAATGTTTTTATATTTAACCATCTAAGCTTAATATTTTTGAAAATATGGCCTAAATGTTTTTTTTAAAAAAATTATGTGGCTTAAAGCCAGTGCCTTACCGGCTTTAATGCAGGGACGAGCCTATAGACAGTAAACTTCTCAACAGGGAAAAATACGGATATTTGGTACAAAACGGGATGATTTCAATGTTTTGAAATCCAATCTAGATAGACTAGTTGATGTAGCTGCAGCTATGATAGATGCAAAGTTCTTGTTTAGTCTAAGAATTCCCAAGAAACTAAGCCTTCTTATTCTGTTGAGAACTTCTAGAGTTCTAGCTGTAACAAGGAATAAGAGATAAATACTATGTTTTTATTATTCAATAAGTGTTGAATCTTACAACTCAAGAGATCGGCCTTTATATAAGGAGGTGATTTAAAACCCTAACATAATTGTCTTATAAATCAATAAGGAAAAGTTCTCAAAATCATAGTTATGCAAGAAAAAAAAAGCTTTAAGCAAAAGAGAAAGTGCTAAAAAACAGAGCACAATAGGAGATAATGCCCTGCATCATATCACCCGGGGTAGAGAAAGATTCGCCCTCGAATCTTCAACTTCATCTTGCATGACATACGAACATAAATGTTTGGCGTTGAATACATCAGATGATCGTATATGGGGAGGAAGCTTGACGCGATATGCATTTGCATTGATTTTCTCAAGGACTTCCAACGGACCAATCTTGCGAGCTTTGAGCTTGTTGTACTCACGTAGTGGGAATCTGTCCTTTGTTAAAACAGCCCACACCAAATCGCCAACAGTAAACTGAACATCTCGACGGTGACAATCAGCTGCTTCCTTATACTTGGCGAACAAAACCTGCAAATTATCATCAAATTGAGTGTGAATGAATGAAAGATCAGCAACAAAGTCTATCGCCTGGCCATGATCACGTGTAGCATCCGATGTGACAGCAAGGTCAATGAGTCCTCGTGAATGATACCATAAATAACTCGAAATGGGCTGAACGAAGTGCTTCCATTGACGGCATGATCATAGGCCAACTCAACTTTGCACAAAATAGAATCCCATGACTTGATATTCTCGCCCACCAAGCAACACAAAAGATCAGCCAAAGACCGATTTGTAACCTCTGTTTGTCCATCAGATTGTGGATGATATGGAGAACTCATGTCGAGACTTGTGCGGAGTAGCTTTCACAACGAACGCCAAAAATGACTGAGAAATCGAGAATCACGATCAGAAACTATCGAGAGCGGCAACCCATGAATGCGATACACTTCTCGAAAGAACAGTTGGGCAACCTGAACATCGTTTGTGGTTTTCTTGCAAGGAACAAAATGAGCCATTTTTGAGAAACGATCTACCACAACAAAAATAGAGTCAAATCCTCGTAGTGTCTGCGGCAAACCCAACACAAAATCCATGTTAATATCTGTCCAGGGTTGAGTTGACACAGGAAGAGGCATATATACCCAACCCCCCCCCCCCCCCCCCCCCCCCCCCCCCCCATTGTTCACGTGGCCTTTAAACGACTGACAAACAACACAACGTTCAACAAACCAAGCCACATCACGTCGTAGTGTTGGCCAAAAATAGGAATTTCGACACTAGCTGCAATGTTCTGTCGCGCCCCACATGACCTTCTTCATGTAATTTTTTGATAATTTGCAACCGGAGACTACAAGCAGGAACACATAGTCGACTGTTACGAAAGATGAAATCATCTTGTAACACAAAATCAGAGTGAAACCCCTATTGTAGCATTGTCCAAATCGGTCCCAAGAGAGGATCAACGGGATATAACTCTGCGAATGTA